TTAATACAACTTTTCTTTGTTTGAAACAAAGCTTTTATATGGAAAAGTGATATACACTAGGTCCTCTTTTTATGCGGTTTTGAAGTTATGCGGTTTTTATTTCAAGAAGCATTTTTTTAAATAACTATTTTAGGCCATTTTGACACGTTTTGATTGGCAAACCATTTCATAGAAAAATATGATAATTCTGAACGAGCGTTCAAGTTTCAACGCGAGCTTCAGAATTGCATTTCTGGATATCAGGAATTGTACAAAAAAAGAGTAGCAAATCCATCGCAAAGTTTAATCACTGATTATATTGTCAAAGGGAAAAAATCAACATGCGAAGTTGAGACTAATTTTACTTGTGAAGAATCATTATCTTCAGCACATAGATCTGATATGCTGACTATCTCTTCTAGTGATGAAAGTAATTTCGAACCAGTTCACAAATTATGCCGAACACTCTCATATTGCGACGAAATTCTAAAGAAAAAAATGTGAAGAAAGATTAACTTTCATAAAAAAATTCTGTATTTTTTTTTGTTGTAAAATTTTTCCATATAAATTTAGAAGGAATATGTTAAGATTATAGTTTTCTGAAATTTAATAAACTTGTCTATGATTGTTCACGTTTTTATAAAATTATGAATAATATAGTAAGACTAATTATTTTTCTGAAATTTAATAAACCCTTTTCAGAAAGAATATAGTAAGACTAATTATTTTTCTGAAATTTAATATTATAACTCATTGATTTAGTTTTATGCGTTTTAAAAAATTATGGAACGTATCCTTTTTTATGCGATTTTCGGTATATTGTAACTCATTGATTTAGTTTTATGCGGTTTTAAAAAATTATGGAACGTATCCTTTATTTTTATACGTGTTGCTAGTCCTTTTTTGTGCGATTTATTTTTATGCGTTTTCCTGTGGAACGTATCTACCGCATAAAAAGAGAACCAAGTGTATATTTTCTTATAATTACAAAGAAGTAAAAAAAAGGTGATACCTCGAACATAAGGACTGATAGTAACAAATTTATATAAAAACATTAATGTAATTCAAACTAAACAAGAGATTTAACTATAATTATTGATAATTATAAAATGTGGTACAAAATGACAAAATATGTTATTTTAAATTGAAGGTGAAACCCGGCGCATCCACCTTATTATTTTTTTTAATTTTACATTTCGATTAATAAATAGTGAAACAATGTTTACCTCTGAACTCGATTTTGATGATCTTCTCGCCTTTGCATTTGGGTATCTGCAGATGCCTTAGCCGGATCGCGAGAGACATGGTGCGAATTCGCGCGCGTCCGAAGAACTACTGGAGTGCCGCCGCAGCCGCAGCGCCGTTCCGGATCAACAAGACGACCACGCAGCTCCTCTGCGTTCTTGTTGATGCCCTCCCCCGAAATGTCTGTTACCGAATGTCGATGTTGATGTTTCGATGGACAGTTTGTTTCTGTCTGCCTGTTGCACTCTGTTGATCCTGCGGCCTCGGTGCTGCGTCTACCGCCACTGGTTGCGGAGAGCCAAACGTACGGCCAAAAAGAAGATCGCGCCTGCTCTCCCCCAAACCGACGCACACGCAACAACAACAGAAAATAAAAAACAAAACAAAAAAACGTACCCCTCGTAACATCATGCCACGCCGATGTGGGTATCTGGGCCGCAGGAGTCGAGAGGTTCGCGCCGGGATGAATAAATGATGACGGTGTGCGGGAATTTCGGGCCCCCGTAGAAATTAAACGGCTAATTGAATCGCGCATTTTTAAATGCGCATCCGAACAGTCCGTTAATGTGATCACTGCTAATTTCTTTATTAAGCACTGCTCTACAATACGCTGAAGCAGCAAAAAAGTCTGTCAAATTCACAACTTGAAAAATTTAGTTTTAATTAAATAAATTAATAGATTTAGTTTAAAATTTAGTTATTTTCAGATACAAAAGACATTAAGGAAAACTTCAATTTGAAAATTTTTAAATATATTTAAATCATAATTAAATTTAAAATTCAGATATTTTCAAAAATACAAAATATCATCAAAAAAGTACAAAACAAAACAACAAAATTGAACCTTAAATTTCATCAATCGATAAATTAGTTTACAATTAATATTACATGAATTTTACTACAGGATTCTTTCTTTAGAACAAATTTAAAATTTAGTTATTTTCAAATTTCCAAAGAAAAAAAATTAGTATAATTATAAATATGTATACCAATGCCTATATTATTATATAAACTTTTTTGCACACAAGAATTTTAGAAATGATTTCAAATTCAGATATTTTCAAATTTAGAAAAAAAAAACAAATTTTATCAAATTATCAAGCATTAAACAAATTACTATAAAAGCATAATTACTTAGAATTTACTCTAAGATTTTTCATTCAGTTTTATCGTCATTTTACCAGTTATATTAAAATTCAATTTGTTTTCATAAATCCTCTTAAATTTAATAATAGAAAATTGATTTAAAATATATAAACTAATATGATTTATTTAGTATAATATTATTATGAATTTAAACAATTCTTCATTATTTTGTCATTAAACAATTTTACATGTAAAAGAAAATATTTATGAATTTTCATATTTCAATTTTATAATATTTCAGATAACTAATATAAAACAAAGTCATTACATAATTTTTCCAATTTTTAACACGTGTACCAACTTAAATTATACAAATAACTGAACTTTTATAGTTCAATAAATATAAACGTTTCTATTTATTTGAACGTACATTAGGTACGTGCACACTTCAGCATTTGCACAAAATACTTGGCACATATCGCGTATTATAATTACAAATTTACATACGTTATTGTAAATTTACATTTATTTATAATTTATATCAATTGTCATATGTTAAGTCCAAATCACAAAATTGTGATTTATTAAGAAAATCTACATCATTATTATATAATTTTACACTTACCTTCGCACGTTGCAGCATAACACAATTGAAAATTCTCTATCAACACGAGCACACAATCATTTTGACAGATCCACTCACAAATTAACAAAAAAAAAACAAAAGTCACCAAGGTAACTAAAACAATCAATGAATTCAAGAAGCATGGATATTCGTTTTGTTTTAAGGTTGATAACACATTTAATGTTTTAATATAGATGGCAGTACTTGTCTTATTTTTTTTGTACTGTAATAATTGTAAAATAAATAATATTCATATGTGAACTAAATCAACGACGATTCCTGCAAACTTTTCGAACGTGCTGTTGCATTTATTACGAATCTGGGTAAATATTTCATTTTATGTAATATTCTCCGTTATTTCTTCGTTTTTTAACATCATGCAAGTGAATTTGGTGGATGATAGAGCACGCTCTATTTACTATTTACTCTTGCTAAACAAATGTAAAAAAAAGTTTTGGAATTTACTTCCAGCATGAAATACTGTAATCCAGTGGTTCCCAAACTTATTTGGCCTACCGCCCCTTTTCCAGAAAAAAATATTACTTAATGCCCCCTGGATTTTTTTTCAAATTTTAATAGCATCACCGCTTCCCAGCGCCCACTTTGGAAATCACTGCAGTAAACCAAGAAAAATGATTTATTTATTTACACATTATTATTAGGCCTAATTTGAGCCAAAAATCAATGTATTGAATTAATTTTGTTATTAATTAATCAACAATTTATTGTTGTTTTTTTTTTGAAGTGATAAAGATATAGGTGAATCAATATAAAATAATGTAAAACATAGATCATATTCATCTCATTTATTTATATAGTATTTATCAAACAAATCGAAATCCAATACGAAATATACGGGCGTATATTTACGACATGCTCTGGTTGAGAGCTTTCAGCAACCTCTGCATTTCCAACAGATTCCTCGTCATTTCGTTCCTCTTCGACGGTCGATCAATTTCGTTTCCAATCGGACATAAACACACGTCGAACTGGTACATATCCTAAAACGTTTGATCGTCTCAGTATTTCATCAATATAAAACAGAAATCAATTCTACTTGACAAAAAAACACACATTATTTGCTAAAAGAATAATCTACATTTGTAAATTAAGAAAACCTAACTAATACAAATCAAACGTTTTACATTCAATAAAAATGATAACTGTTAAGAAAAGTTAAGTTGTGGTTAATTGCGTGTATCTGATTATGCAATAAAATCATAAAAAAGTTAATTACTTTTCGAGTTATTATCGAAAACTGAAAACATCAGTTTTTGTGCAAATTAAATTCATCTTTTTTACAAATGGAAATACAAATTCAAAGTTTTTTCTTCGAAATATTGTCAATATTTGTTAAATGTTAAATGAAATTAGTATGTTTATACTTACTGAAATATCGTTGATTTCGGAATTGACGAAGAACTTATTGGTGATTCCAGATATAATCGCGAAGAATGCGAGGATGTGTTTGAAGAAATGCATGTTTTCTGTGATCTTGGAGAAGCCGCAGTGCGGTTGTATCAGGAAAAAGGGTCTCCTTATATACCTGTTGTACTGTTTGTATTGGTCTTAAGCAAACATCAATTTGTCTAATTTCCACGTGTTTCCTTACGTCGCACGTACTAGGATTACTCAAATAACCTTCCTATTCATTAAATGTTAACAACGAAACTGTTTGCATCGAATATATTGGATAAATCCCAAATAAATCAATACAAATTTTAGTTTGATTTATGTTTATTTTGCTTTAATTAAAGTAATATAAAATAATTAAGTTAACGTTGATTTAAACTTAAGGAATCGTTACAAAATTTAATTAAAACAATTGAATCAATAGTATTTTTATCTATATTGAAACTATTAATACATTAGTTGTTAATAAAAATATAATTTTCACAAAAACAAAGATTTATTTCTCAAAGTATAATGGAAATTGTATGTTATAAATATTTGACTTTTATTTGCATTGTAGGAATGTGTAAGTAAATATAAACTAAACGTGGATTCTAAGGTATTCCATACGGATGAGTAAGGTTTAAAGAATTACACAATACAAAGAAACAAATAATGTTGCAATTGATTTAATTATAATTGAATTATTTGAATATTTTTTTAAAGCAATAATTTTGAATTAACAAATCTGTTATCCTGTGAAATACATTAGTCTTATTCATCAGAAATAGGATTATATTTATTATAACATTTTTGTATGTCTTTTCTGATTTTGTCGAAGATCTTAGAGAAATCTTGCTGGATGAATGAAGGTAGTTTATTCATCGAAGACAAACATTTGGACTCCTTCAATTCTTTTCTGCACGTTTCATCCATATTCTTAGCTTGGTTCATGAAAGAGTTGATTGCCGGTTGAATTGCCGCGTTAAAATTTACCGTACAATCAAACATCGTTGCGTTATTAATTTTTTTATTTGTATCGATAATTGCTTTCGTTATGTTTCTGATGACGTCACGATCTTCCTTCTGAACGGCATTCGAAAATGCGCCCTGAAATGAACATGGTTTGATTTTAACGTAATGTAAATCTTTAAAGTACTCACGTGGAAGGCGGACAGGAGAAGTAGTGAACTGATCGCAAGTTTGAATATCATTTTGCGAAACTTTGCTGACTGCTTGAATGAAAGTTGGAGAACGTTCGCTTATATAGCAGTAGTTGCAGTTTATCAAACATACTCGGAATGGTTGAACGTCTCTATGGTATTATTCCGTGCCGTACAGTTGCTTTATCGCTAACAACTTGGATGAATTTTTTTCGAAATGCAAATCGCTCGCATTCCGCTTGTTCAATGTAATCCAAGAATGTTATCTTTTTGGCTATACACGTTCGACCAGTTGCGTACATTTCTCCAGTTTATAGCAATTTTATTGAGAAAAATGCAAATTTTCTTTGTGTCATTTCACTTTCAAATATCTAACATTCATACACGTAGATATACGCATCTATTTTCAGTGAATTATTCAATTTTTTAAGAACGCATTTATAATCTTTACTAATAATTATTACATAAAAAATTAAACAAACTTGGGCAGAAAAACCTATAGTCAATAGCCTTTTTAAGCAGTTGACTTTGTTTCTTATAATTTTGATAATATGTCCATATTAACTTTACATTTCTTACAATACTAATAGTAATTATATAAAGATGAACACATAATCTTTACTAATAATTATTACATAAAAAATTAACAAACTTGGGCAGAAAAACCTATACTCAATAGCCCTTTGAAGCAGTTGACTTTTTTTTTTTATAATTTTGATAATATGTCCGTATTAAATTTACATTTCTTACAATACTAATAGTAATTATATAAAGATGAGCACATAATCTTTACTAATAATTATTACATAAAAAATTAAACAAACTTGGGCAGAAAAACCTATACTCAATAGCCCTTTGCAGTTGACTTTTTTTCTTATAATTTTGATAATATGTCCGTATTAAGTTTACATTTCTTACAATACTAATAGTAATTATATAAAGATGAACACATAATCTTTACTAATAATTATTACATAAAAAATTAAACAAACTTGGGCAGAAAAACCTATACTCAATAGCCCTTTGAAGCAGTTAACTTTTTTTTCTTATAATTTTGATAATATGTCCGTATTAACTTTACATTTCTTACAATACTAATAGTAATTATATAAAGATGAATACATTAATATAATATAAATTACTGAAATAGTGTTAAAACAACAAATAAACAAACATAAAATGTTGCATCAAAATATTGATAAGTTTTACAATTTACAAAATTTTACTTATATAAAACCCATACATTTCATACACTTTCAGTAAATATTGTTTATAATATTTAAGAAATAAGGATTCTAAAAAAATATCATATTTTTTACAAAATAATTATTCAAATTACAAATGTCAGACAGTTGTAATAAATTTTGATAGATGGACTTTAATGTACATAATAATAAGATTAATGTTTCAATAAATAGATATTAACAATTAATGTATTAATTACTATTATTTAATTAGTCAAAAGGGCTAAACTGTAAGCTTAGTACATTCACCAAAAGATGACGCACATTTATCATGGAATAACATATAACCAGGGGGTATTGAAGTTAGTTTAATAGTTATATTTTTAATTTCGTTAGAAGAAATTGTTTATTTTGATTATTTGGGCTGAAGAAGGAAGTTATGGTTTTATTGGAAGAAGCTGTTTACTTTAATTATTTGGGCGGAAGANNNNTTTGTGCTTTGACTTAACAGACAGTGGCGCGTAATGCGGAAGCCAAATGAAGAAGTGGGAAGGAAGAAAAAAAATAACCAGGAGACCAAAGACGATGTTTGCGTGCCCTCGCTAAACTGGAAATCGAGTGGCGCCCTCTATAGAGTTGCCTATGGAACCTTACACCAAAACAAGGCAACATAACGTATTTTTGCTTATTTTTCAAGATTTAACCAATACTTACATTTAATAAATTAATAACTGTACCTCATATAAATATAGTGATATAGAATGAAAGGATTAGTTATTCAACACTTCTCAATACCTGAAATGTAAATTGAAGATATTAATAAAACGCATTGGTTAATTATAGGTTTTATAAGAAATTTCCAAATTTTAAATTATTTGGTGCTTTTACTTGTGGCGCCACCTATAGAGCTGCCTATGTACTACTGATTCGATAACTGCGCCACAGCAGAGTCCATACAACAAATTGTAGAATGAAAGGATTAATTATTCAACACTTCTCAATACCTGAAATGTAAATCGAAGATATTAATAAAACGCATTGGTTAATTATAGGTTTTATAAGAAATTTTCAAATTTTAAATTATTTAACATTTGTACTTGTGGTACCACCTATAAAGCTGTCTGTGTATTAAGGATTCTAAATCCCGATTATATCAAAATCCTGACAACCATAATCCCGACAAATATTCCGGAATAATTTAAATATGTTATTGTAGACATTTTCGATATAGTCGGGATTTTGATACAGTCGGAATTATGGTTGTCGGGATTTTAATATAGTCGGGATTTTGATATAGTCGGGATTATGGTTGTCGGGATTTCGATACACTTGGGATTTTGAACGTCGGGATTTCAATAGACGGTCTTTCAGTTGTCGGGCTTGCGATTGCCACCGACTTGATTCCCCTGCATATATAACCCAACTATTATATGTTGCTCCATCTGTTAATTCAATATTGAAGTTTACAGTTCAACTTTTAGCACTGATCCATTTCCAACTATTTAAAAAGTTTAATTTACGTAACAACAAATTTACATATTTATTAAGCTGTGAGGACTATATGAAATTTAAATAAATGAATTAGTTTATTAAACCTATGGGTCAAAAAAATTTAATTCTTACAACAAACACAGATTAATTCTTATTAATTAATGAATTTAACATCATTTGAAAGTAATTTCTTTATATTTTTTTGAAAATTTAATTATTTATTTGCTCTAAACAAAAAATTTGTAAATTATTTCAATTTAAAAAAAGTAGACAAAAAAACTATGATGCATTAATTTATGTTATAGGAATGAAGGAAAGTGAAATTTAAAAAAAAAATCATGTCTATTGATATAATATAATATATATTTCGATTGTGTTATTTTTATTTATTGCAAGCAAGGCATAAAGCTCAAATAGAGGAGTAGTAGTAGTATAGTCTATGTAACTTTGAGAACAGAGTAATTAAACAATAAAGTCTGTGTAAAAAAAATAAAATAATAATAAGATACAAAAAAAAGTAATAATGGGGGGCGGATACGGGGGGGAATCTTACAAATTAATACATAGTTACGTAAACGCATACACGGATCGACCGATGTTGGCTCGACCAATCGATCGAGTACAAAAAAAAATAATAAAATAAAAATAATAATTATATAATGGTTTACAAATAATATATATAATAAAAAATAATAATAATAAAACGAAACAAAACGATCACAATTGTAACAACTTAAATTAATTACACACGAGAAATAATATAATAATAATAATTACCAGAGCACCATTCTATTCGTTATTTAATAAAAAAAACATTTGAAAAGAAAAAAAAACAAAAATCGAATGAGAACAAAAATTTCGATTGCTTGATCATTTCGCGTTTCATTGTAATCTTCTCTTCTGTTGTTGATTTCCATTACTGTTTTGATTCCTTTTACGCAGAAATATTTACAAAAAATAATAATAATTTGCTCCACAATAATAATAGCTCCACATAAACAAAAGTAACCTAATATTCATCTCGCAGTAAATTATATTATGATAAAGATAAATTGTTAATTAAATGAAAACTAAACTCTAAATAATAATTACTATAATAATCGTAAACTTCTTCATATCCTCTCTTTCTCTCTCTCAATCTCGTTGTTTTCGTACGTTTTAAAATTCCTTTAAAACCGCGATCTGTTTTACTGTACACGCGCAAAAAAAATAAAATTAAATTAAAAAAAAAATAAAAACTAATTAATTAAATACTTGATAGGAAGATGTTTTGCTCTTATAAATAATAATATAATAATAATTAACTAAATACAGTACAATGTAAATCGAATACAATTAATTAATTTAATTATTAGAAAAAAAAAATAAAATGCACATTTTTGTTTAACAGCCTATAACTTTCTTCCTTTCGTTTTTCACATAAATTCCTTCTCCTGTTTTTTTTTTGAATTTTTTTTTAACGAATCGTCTTTCTCCCAGGTCCGACCGTCTTATCCGTTTCAAAAAACGGTAAGAGGACAACCGCAGCTCTGACTTAAGCCAAACTATCTACTAATGTATTAGTAGATAATGCGAGGTTTACCCTACGAAGACCCTTCTCCTCCTTCGAATCATCGGGATTGGGTCCCAAGTACATATACAATATATATATTTATAAAAGAAATCAGTACAAGCAGCTACCTATTACAATACTAAATAATAATAATATGTCTGTGTTTTTACTTTTACTTCTACTTCTACTTCATCTTACACTCATGGACCATCTATGATACATAAGAAAATATTTATTATATATTATATTAGAAAAAAAGGACGTCTTTATAAGATCTGTTTGAAAGCGAAATGGGAATCTACACCCATCTGTTTATCTCGTTTTAAGTGTATAAAAATCTTCTTGTCACTGGACTAGGCACGATTTGATATGAACAATTCTTTCGCTCTCTCTCTCTTTTTCTATCTTTCTCTCACTATTTATTTTTTTCCCATAGGATTTTAGGACTCTGCGATGATGAGCGTCTCTTTGAGCGCCACCAGCTGCTCCTCTCCAAGCTTAATCTTGTCTGCGATCTCCTTCGAATCCATGATCAGTTTCGCCTTCATGTTGATGAAGTGATCGTAATCCGCGTACTCCTCCGAATTCAGATACTTGTACAGGATGTTCGAGACGCTCAAACTTCGCTTGTCGATGCTCTCCTTCAGCTTCTTCGCCTCCTCGAGCTGTTCCAACAGCTTATCCCTCTTGCTCTCCAAAATCCTCTGAAAAATAAAAACAACATTAGTATCATTGCATTTTCTGAATGATCAAACAATTAATAATTTTATCTTCTCAGCTACAAACTTCAAATATACAAATGAAGATGATAATTAATACTAAGAATATAAGAAATAAAATGAGTACAATTACAAAATTATGTACTTTTCCCATAATATGTTGGCAAATTTTAAAAATGATGTAATAGAAGGCAGTATTTTACATTTTGTCTAGTATTTACAGAAAAATAAACTTATAATATACAAATTAAAGATACGAATTCAGAACCTAAAATTAGTAACGTTCGTAGTTTATTTTGTATCGCACAACATTAAAAGTTACAATAAAACATTTAAAATGGGAATTAAACCAAGAACAAAATGATTCCAGTTGAATATTTGTGCTATTTGTAGTTTCCGCGTATTCAAATATGAAAAAAAGGATTGATTAAGCTATGAAAAAGCAGTGACTTTGTGTCTACCGAAGTAGATTGTGGGTAACAATTATGGGTCGATTTACGTTCCGCAAATACAACAATACTAATTTAGTGGTATGTGTGTATATGCAAATTGAGGCATGTTCTTGTATATTTATGAGGTTTGTAAATCCCTTTGGAAATTGACTTAATGTTAGCTTTCCAATGCGGCCCGGCCTCCAGTTTTATACAAGTGAAATGCGACTACGTTTATATTATTTGCATGCATTTAAAAAATAAAATAAAATAAAATGGTAAATTACCCTTTCCGGATGATCTTCTGGCATCGTCATGAGGGCGTTCTCGGCACGCGCCAAACGCCCGGAGAGGCCAAGGAGAAGACTAGTGATTTTGCCGACCTCCTCCACGTGCAGCCGGAATTTGGCAGTCTCGTGCGGTCGCGCCTGCTTGCCCACGTGGTTCTCCACGTTCTCGCCGAGTTCATCGTTGATCCTGCATTCCTCCGACACGACGAGCTGTTCGCCGCGCAGCACCTCCAGCTTCCTATCCAATCTACTAACTAATTCCTCCTGAAAAACAAGAACAACCTGTTAGGAATACAATAAGATTACGTTCGTAAATGCAACAAAAACCAAGTTTTCTTGAATACTACAGTGATCGACATCAACAATTCATACCTTCTTTTGACTGAGATCTTTGGTATCCTTGACGACATTCAAATGATTCATATCTTGGCTGTACCTAGTTAGGAACCTAGCTTTCGGCTCGGACGTCGTGAAGTAAGGCGATGTGGCCGATAACGGACTCACCGGTTCGATTGTTGGCACTGCAGAAGTTGATTCACTGCAATAGTGGAAAATTCAATAATTAATATCTTGGTTGCATCGATTAAGAATTTCTCAAAGAACATACCTTTTAATTGTACTTAGGATGTTGCTGGTTGGAGGAGGACTGCTGCTCGGAGTGTTGGCGCGACTTCTCGAGAACGGGGAATTCGCATTCCTCGGCCTCGACGTCACCTCCAATCTGAAGAGTCCCGTCACGTAATCCGTGGGCTTCTTGTGATCTGGTCCTTGCACTAAATAAATAGAATAACATTTAGTACATACACTTACAATTAATTACTTAACATATAATGAAGGCATTAATCAATTCTTAAAGGTTTACAACCGGTGAAGTGAAACGTTTCAGTCGTTGATTTCTTAAGCTGTTATTGAGTGGATAAGATTTATAGCTAACACATTTAAGTGGATTTCTTCTAAATACGATTAATATCTGATATTTATAAACGAGCTGCGAATTAGCCTTAGATAATCACAACTGAACAATAAGTTAAAAATATCTTTGACAGAGAAAAGTGAGTAGGAATTTCCCGATACAAACGCTATGCTTTTATTAGTCACATGATGATGCAGTTGCGAGCTCTTATTTTACATTTGTAATACGTACAATTAACTAACAATGATGATGACAACAAAACTCATATACTACGATCGAACAACGATTATACATTTGGTGCATGTGTTCCCTTATCTATTAACTGATTTGTTATGATAATGTAAAGATTACTATAGTAAAGATGGGTTTATCGATAAAATTGACTAATTATTCAAATGATATAAATTGTCCCAAAAAAATTAAAATGAATAAAACAATATTTACCGAGAATGTCTTTGAGTCTGTCCGCTGTTGGCAGTTGACTCACGAAGTCTTCGGAAAGTTTCTCGCAGTCGATCTCCTCCTGCAGCTTTTTCCTGGTGGGCAGCGGTGTCGGAGGCATTTCTTCCTTTTCAGTTTGAGAAGAGGCGTCCGTCGTACAGGCGTTAACACGGAGCACGACTTCAGTACGCTGCATCAATTGCAAACCCTCGATGACTTTAGGATGTTGCTGATGCTTAGGACTCGCAGGCGGTGATTCCACTGGGCTTCTGACGGGTGAGACTGGTGAAAGGGATGGCGAGGAAAGCGGGGAGGTCTTCAGAGGAGTGCTGCTCGCCGTTGAGAGCGGTGATGTTCTTCGGGAGGTTTTCGAGGTGGGCGAGAGGGACGGCTTTATTTGAGGCGGTTTAGTTTCGGGCGGTCTCGGAACCTCGATTTGTTCAGGAAGTTGCTGCTGCAGCAGCTTGTAGGTGTCTGAAAGCCGCAGCTCGGGCGTGAAAGATTTTGGCTCTTCGGGCGATTGCAGTTTAGGCGAAGGTGTCTGCAGTTTAGGTGAAGGTGTTTTCAGTTTAGGTGAAGGCGTCTTCAGTTTAGGTGAGGGCGTCTGCAGTTTAGGTGAAGGCGTCTTCATATCCGGAGAGATTCTCTTGTGGATTTTAGGAGTTTCGCAATGGATTTCGGAGATGGGTGGACTGGAGAGGTTCGTGTGTCTGAGCGGTGTAAATGGACTCTTCGGTGGTGAATGCGGGGACTTCTTGAAGTCCTCGCCATGATGATCGATGGGCGCTAAACTTAGATGCGACGGTCTCGAATGGTACCTGGGGTTGATCAACTTCGCGTTGACGGGGAGGACGTCAGGAAGCGCAAGCTGCGGCTTCTTCAGATCCTGCTCTTTCTCGTCGATCTTCAACGATTTGTCGTTCATGGAGGCGCGCCTCAAGATGTTCGCGTTGTTGTTGTTCTTCAGAATGGTAGTCTCCTTCGGATGCGTCCGATTCAAAGGCCATACCGTCTCTCTGGAGCTGTTGATGCGCGTCTCCGCGTACGACTCGCTGGTGATGACGTGACCGTTCGGCGAGATCGTCCTCTTGTAACTTCCCGTGTCCGAATCGGGAACGATGCGCTCCCGATCGCGTCGCGACGCTAAGTACGACGCCTTCGACTGACTCCTGCAAAAAAACAAAAGAAAAACATCAATTCAAACGTCCTTGATTTCGGAAACGCAATGTGTGTCGAATTATTATTATTAATCGAGAACAGATGTTCCCAATCCCAGATGGTCATAGTTATAACAGCATCATCAACCGTTTCTTTCTTATTGTTAACTGCTTTCAAAAAAAAAATATGAAGGAAAATAAAATAAAAACATTAAATAATAGCATTCCCGACGCGACTGTTAAAGCTGTCGCCACTACGACGGCATCATCGTTTTACCAACTCCTTCGGATTCGCGGCAAAGACTAATTAGCAGGTAATTTATTAAATTTGCACGCCGTAAAACGGCCGCACGATTCGATGCATCGACACGCCCAAGAGTGGTCCGCATGAGGAGAGGCGAGGCCACCACCAGAGGAGTAGTGTGTTTGATGATGGATGGCTAAAGGCGAGCTACTGAATTTATTAACTGCGAACGTCCGTTTACCGCAAGAACAACACCACCAACAACAACAACACTGGTCCGGCCACTTTCTTCGTCGCGCGGTCTTTAATTTCCTTCGGAATGCGGTCTTTTGCTCCCGTGAATTTCTATCATCAAACATCCCCTCAAAAATAAATAAATTACCAAAAAAAAAATCAATATCCTAATCGCGTTCAATTACTTGAATTATTCATTCATTCAAATGGAGAGAAACGAGACATGAAGAGTAACGAAACGTCTGACATAGACTAAGAACGAAAACAAAAACGAGCTAAACTAATGCAAGAGCGTTCGGCATTGTCTGCACAACGAGTCGCGAAACGGGAGCGGATTATATAATCGAGTCGTGACTCTCCAAACAATAGCACTATATGTGTGTATTTGTGGCCGAGATAGTTTTGCTTTTCCATTAGTTACACAAACAAAAAAGTAATGAAGAATCATACAAAATAATAATTTGGATTTTTATTTATCTTAAGACCTATAATTTAATAACGAACATAATTATATTATAAAAGAATGAAGAAATTATTTTATCAAATATGGATTCCCGAAAATATTGGTTTATTCAGCGAATCTTGTTTATATTATATAAAGTGGAAGGTTAAAGAAACTTAATATAATTATCTCTAATTTAATTATTAATTATTTTCTTAGTTGCATAAGACGATCTTGCGCTCAACAAAAGGTATAAATTGATGCCCATAGATGAATACAAAAAGGTATTATTACAATCTTGAAGTGTCGAAAGCAAATGAAAAGCAAATCGTTGTTTGGTTTGCACCAAATATGGGTTATGGTTACACATGAGTTTCGCGTCTTCAGCTAAATGCGAACACTACGAGCAAATATTGATTCTAATCCCGTCGACGCCAACAACCAACAACAAATTCAGCATGAACATCAAATAAATACAATATAAACATCAACAAATTCAACCCATTTACCCAAAAATAGATGATTACGCAAGAAAACGATGAAATCAATTCAGTATGTTTTTGCGGAAATCGAGCTTATTATAAATCGATTAATCATGTTCAATTTGCTTCCACCGAGATAATCGCTTCTTAGGGAAACTGATTTGCCAACAACAGAATTCCAATTATCCATTTTTTTAATTTATTTTCTGCATTATTTACTGTAATTGAATCTCCTTTCAATCGCTTTTTTTTAAAACTTATTTCTTGTTGATGTAACTACAACATACGTAACATTTCTTAAGATTGATTGAAACAAATCAATCTTTTCTAATTAATATTGTTGTTTCTATCTTATTGTAGAAACGTTTGTTAATTTCGTATTGTTAAAAGAAATGAAGATGTGTTTTGTAAAATCCATTGTGCAATGGGTATTTGTGTATGAACCTAATTATAATTGTCGAGTAGCACACGTTTTCTAGTCTGCCCGTTTTATTTATATCAATGAGTTCATAATATCTGCGGTCGAAACACGAAAGCAATAGCAAACTCTCTCACATAGAGTATCATGATATGTGTGTGTGTGTGCGGTTTCGGTTTACATTGAGAAATCGGGGATCGATGTTGTTGCGATTTGCGGTGGAGAAGAGGTGAATTGTGTATTTTCTTTAGGTGAAAATTTTCGCCATATGTCATATGTGTACGAGCGCACGCGTGTTTGTAACACGAGGAGAGGCTCATTGGAACGGCTTCTTCTCTTTCCCTGACCTCTATTTAAGGCCAACTTCTGTCAATCCAATTTGCTGGAAGATCTCTTTACCTTTGCTGCTGTAGCTAACAACAACAGCAGCAAAGAGCTGCACCGTCACGCACGGTTTCTAACTAATACTTTGTAATCTAATTCGATCACACATATACTTTGCAGAAAACAAATAACATGTCGGACTCGTATTTCGAAGCCTTAGGTCTTCAGTTTCTCCAAGGAAAAACGAACATTGTGCATTGAAATACACACTGATTAACTGTAGAACTTTAAATTATTCTAATTTTATCTCAATTATCCATAACAAATATAATTTCATACAGAAAAATAAACTTCTAATTTTTAATGCATCAAAAATCAAATTTAAAAACAAGAAAATTCACTTTTATCATTAATCTTATGAAGATTATATTGGAGAATTGCCAAGTGATTTATTACAATCAAATATTCTTCAACATGTCAAATTTGTAACGAATTTCCATTTATTTATATTTTTTCATTTGATTGATTTTGAATCTATCAAGAAATCATGAATCATTCTTATATATTTAATATAAAATAAATAGAACATTCAACTAAACCGAATTGATAACTAAATATAGAACGTATCAAGTTATCAAATAGAACAAACTTTATTTCGCAGCTATAAATCATCAATATTCTAAAAAATCTGTTTGGAAAAATCGATAATTCTTAGAGTTAATTATCCACAATATTAGAACTATTCAATACAAAATACTAGATTTAAAAGCGCATTCAATTGAAAGCCAATAATCTCTTGAACTGAACCAAATTGCTATCAATTTATTTTTATCATGAATCAATATAAATATAGGCGGATTCACGTTTTATCGGAATTTATCGCAGATGTTCAATTTCCAAACAAGAATTCGCCGATTTATGTAACTTTTTTTTATATAATCTAAACAGAATATAAATACAAACTTTACTTCGATTCACACTTCTTTACTTGATTTTGTATTAATTTTCAATTTATTTAGAAACTAGTATAAAATATGTTGACGATAATGATT